TTTGATAGGCACTCTGTTAGGCACCTGTCTTACTTCTGCTTGGTATTAAAGGAATGTTATCCTTTTTCAAGAGGAAATAAAGACGTGCAGATGGATTCTGACTTTTACATAGTTATTCATTTGCCTGCGTTGTCTTTCAAGTTGGTCAGAGCAGTTTGAGGCGTTTTTATTTTTAAGTTAATAAGTCATATAGTAACTTTCATCTTTTATTGAAGAATAGGGTAACAAAATTGTGGTTTTTCTCTGTTTAAAAAAAAAAAAAAGTGTATTGAAAGGCAAGTTTTACAATTTCATAAGTTGCTGATGCCACAGATTTCCATGAGAAGAGTAGAGAGAGTTTCATCTGTCCAGGTGGGCATTCTGGTCTTCCAAAACTGAAGTTTTTGGCTATGGAGCTAGGAGGAATAGTTGGTAAGGCTCCAGAATTAATTTCAATTCCCTAAATAAATTCTTCCTAACTTTTTATTCTAGTTTTATGCTAATTGTCTTCTAGTAAGTGTCATTGGAATTTCTATAATTATCTGTAGAGAAGTCCTGTATCTTTTCTTTTTCTTACAAGTCTGAGTACATTTTGTGGAACTTTGCTGAACAAGGATTGAAAATTCAAGTGTTCTGGAAACCCAGTTTACTTTGTTGCAACTTGTTCAATAAATTTTTTTAACATTTTGTTCTGACAGGTTTTTAAACACACCTGCCCTCTTTGTGTGGGAAAAGAAGGGTATTTTATTTTCTCTGTAAAGTGGAACATAATTTGATTGTTAATGGGTATTAGCATAGGTCAAGAGAAGCTGGTATGTTACTGATACTGACTGAAATTTTACCGGCTATAATGCAGTTTTCCTGTGTTATGTGTATCCTTAGTAGTGCTATGCTGGATAAAGGACAATGCAAAATAAACTGATAAAACTGGACACTCAGGACAGGCATGGTAATTAAAATACTAGGGTTTATTAATGTTCAAAAATTGCTTAGTTTTAATGGATATATGATCTTCCTTTGAGTGTTTGATTAATACAGATTCTCATATTGAGTTCCTTGTGCTTGAGTTACTAGAATAATGTTGTCAAAATCACATACTTAGTCAAGAAAACGTTCTCTCCAGTTTGTATGTCAAAAACTTAAGAATATTGAGGTAAAATAATGCCTGTGGAATTAAAAAGCATGTATGCTCTGTGCAGTGGTTAGTAAAGATAGATAAAAGAGTGTCTGATTGTCTCTCATTGGCTTTCTGAGGTTAAACTGCCACACCGTTGGTTACCAAAAATACTGGTTTCACTTTTCCCTGTAACCAGTTGCCATATTGCCACAGTGAAATGTAACTGGAACTGGGAGAGGAAGTCATGAGTCAAAGAAGGCAACTGTGAGATTTGCTAATATGTTGAAAGCACATCTCTTACATTGACAAAATTTCTTTTATGCATTTCTGTAAAAGGTGAGGAAGCAGGGACTGAGTAACACACTCAGCTCTCTGAATGCATTGACCAGTGCATTGAATGTGTCATCCTTCACAGGGCAGATTATCCATCCAATGTCTCCATGTGAGGAGACTGTAGGTGCTGTTTCAAGGGTTTGATTCAAAAGGGACCCTTGCCTGTTTAAAGACAAGCAGGGAATTGATATCCCCATTTGTAGTGCACATCAATGTTTTACAGGGCTGAGGCTGGGGCAAGGAAGTAATTCTGGCTCACTCAGTTGGCTGTGGCACAATTAAAACAGTTCTGAAAAATGTTTTTGTCATCTGTAGTTTTGGCATGTAGTTCTGAAACAACAAAACCAAGAATCAGAATGACTGCTAGTGCTAAAACATCAAGAGGCTGCAGTGGTCATCAGCTTGAAACCTAATGTTTCTTTTATGAGACCAGCTAGATAGCAGCAGTCACTGAATATCATTGGAACAGTCAGCTTTTTAAGAATTTTTTGAATTCCTCTATCAGTGTACTTTGTTTTAAATAACTGGTAAGTTGGGGGAAAATAATGGATTTTTTTCTCCTAGTAGTTAATATGCTTGACTTGCCTTTAGAAAATAATACAGAAAGCTGGGTTTTTTTGATGTGCTTATACTGGAAAAAATGCTAGCGTGAACAGATTCCTTAGCAAAAAAAAAGCCTTTGCTGAGGTGTTTTCTGTAGTTCTGGGAGGTGCCCCAAGTTCTCTAAGCCTTGCCTCTGAATTGGGGATTTATCAGTGTACTGAATGTAGCAATTAATCCTGTCATGTCCAAGTCAGATTCTGGATTGCAAAATGATGATGTTTTTAAACAGCTCTACCTTACCTAGCCCAAATACATGCCTTTTTTTTTTTATTCTTCAGGGTTTTTTATTACATCTTTGATGGGGAAAAAAAAAAAAAAGATAAGTAGAATGTATGGAAAATTCATTTAAGTGGTGGGAGCTTCAAAGTCAGTACCCAGTCTGTGCATCTTACAGGGTTCTACAGCAGTGCTGTCTCATTTCCCCAAAATAGTTGTATTGCCCATTAGAATTTAAGGTGCTTGGGACAGTAAAAGTGCCCAGAAGTATCAGACTAAGCAAAAGGATGGTTGAAGAGCTGTGATATAGGTAGTGGGTAGTTAGTCTAGCAGCAGATGTAACATCATGCTAGCACTGAGTTCATGGTGTAGAGGCTGTGTAGATACCTGCCACGTGAAGAGTTTCAGAGCTCTGTATTTTGACAAGTATATATAGCTGCTACCCATGTGTTGTTTAAATGAAATACTTGGTTTAATTTAGAGGGGAAGGCAGAGACAAGCAGTTTCCAACTGCTTTTAAAGTAGTCTCTGCACTCCAAATTACCTTCTGTCTATTTATATTTTGAAAGTTGGAAAGGGTCTTCTGTGAACATCTTTCTTGAGCTTCTTTTAACACTCTGCTATTATAATTATGTATGAATAGAATGGTTTGTTATGTGAATTGGCAAATGTACTTAAAGCTGTAGTTAAAGATGTTTGCTTAGTCTTGCCACATCTGATGGGCATGAAGCCAAGGCACCTTTCTTCATGTTATGATTCTCTGATCTTTCCAAATAGCTGTGTATTTGGCTGTGCTTTTTTTTGACTTGGTTCAGTAGGTTTTACCGTTTCCAAGAGATTTGTGAAAGCAATTATTTGACTTTGATTGCATTCTATAATTAGTTGTAATTATGTTGTTTGAAGTTTACTAGGGTCACATCTGTTCTGCATTGAGTAAATAAATCTTTGTGGAGCCTGTGTCTGCCTTCCAGTGAAAGATGTACAAGACAGTCTGAAGTCCATCTGCAGACCTAAGCTTTAAATTAAGCTAGAATTTTTCAAGAATGCCTAACTAGCTTAGTTATTAAGTAAAAAAAAAAAAGCCATTGAGAAACCAAAGGACACAATGGCACTGTATTTTAAAGAAAATCTGGGTTTGCTCTGCCTTTACCTGGTGATGACTGAAAATTTTAGCTATAATTAGTAGCACTGAATAGACCTATTGCACCTTATCTTCTACTCAGTTCAGAAAACCCCAGGGATAGATGACCTTTGAAGTTGAAGTACACTCACTTGTATGTTAGCCTGAAAAATATTTAGTTTTCCCAGATATTCTTAAAAAACCATTTTACCCAAGACTTACTTCTAACTTTACATTTTCTTTAGGTGTTTTGACTGCTTAATTTTTATCACTTACCTGCAAAACTGCTTTCTTCCTAATACAAAAAGGAGAAAAGTAGAAAAACATTAGTATGTATATTCAATTGTGACTCTTGTTTAAATGTCTCATGGTACTGCTCTACAAATCAGATACTTCTTGAGTTAATATTTGCTTGGTATAGTAAGAAGTTTTGCAGAATGTGCAAAAAACCCTCTGCTATCTGTTGTAGAGTTTTGCTGTGGGTAGTAGTAACGTTCTGAGTGGAGAATTAACAGATTTCTTTTGTCATTGTCAATGTGTCTGTAACTGTTTTACATCCAGCTCTCTTTCCAGCTCACCCCTGCCCCCAGATGAAGGAAGCATCCCTTGCAATGCAGGAGATTGCTAGCTTGGGGCATCTTGTATTTATTTTACAAGGGCTGCCTCTGGTTACAAATACCATTAACATACAAAGAGAAAATATTTTCATTCTGTAACTATTAGCTTTTTCTAACTTCTGTTTTGCTGGAATTTCAAGCTATTGTAGGCACAAACAGCTGAAGACTTGTTTCAGATAAGCTTTCTTTTCAATATGTTTTCAGAAGCCACTGTCATGTTTGAGACTTGGTCATCTAACATGTCATTATTTGAAAAATAGGAATCAGTATTGTTGTGTGTGATGTTCACAAAGCACTTTCCTTGAATATTTGTAAAAAAGTATATGCATATACTTTTTTTGTTAAAAAGCAGCTTCAGAGAAAATACTGATTAATTTTGATCAAAATATTATGTTAACTGTTTACATTGTCCTCATGTCTTCTCTGGTTATTTTCTTGTATGTGTGGGCTAAGATAACAATTGTTCCCGTGTTTTATATTTTTGTTTGGTTTATTTGTCAGAAATTTAATATTAATAGAGTAATACAAGACTTTCATTGCATGTTTTTATGGGAGGAGTTTGAAGATCTATTGTCTGTAAAATAAACTACTAATCTTTCTGTAGATGGCAACAAATGATCTGATGATTTTCATAGTGATTTGGAGCTTTTTATCTGATTTCATTTTCAATAGGAAAATCAACTGTACATTCTCAGCCCTAATCTGGGATTGCTCTTCCAATAATGGTTACAAAAAAATTAATTCCCTTTTACTTTACAAAGTATGTTAATGTTAGCTTTATAAAGTATGTTAATGTATTTGGTAGAACCTGCAGTGTCAGGCAGAGGTACTTGGTTGTAATTTACTGCTCAGAAATAATTGTACTGGAAGGAATCTTACTGAAAGAAGTTAGTAACATAGTGATTACTTCTTTTTTACAGTATACATTCATATATGTGTGATGTTTATCTTCCATAGATAAATATGTTTTATGCTTTGCTGTGAAAAATACAATATCAGTTTTTCCATGTTTTAGATTAAATAAGATTATGAATCAGGTGGCCATTCAGCGAAAGAAGCATTTTGTTGAACGAGTGCACAGTTACTGGTTGCTTAAAAGACTGTCTAGGAATGGTGTTCCACTCTTGAGAAGGCTGCAGTCCAGTTTACAGTCACAAAGAAACACACAACAGGTATGTGACATACTTTTTATTTCTAAGAAGAAATTGGAAATTTTCTCTTTTATTGAGTTAAAAATAAACTAGGAAGCCTAGCACAAAGTAAAAACTTTTTTTTACTCAAGACTGAATAAATTCTTTACCCTATTTTGAAGTGATATTACCTTTTTTGGGAATTGGGAATTATCTAATACTTTTTAATATGTGAGACGTAAAAAAATTGTGCGGCTTTTTCTTTTGTTTTGCTTAAATGTTTCATAAAAATGCTATTGTCACAATTATCCTAATGCCATTATTCTTTGATAAGTGTTGTAGTTTTTTGGAACCCATGAATCAGTGTACTGTCAGAAAAAAGAAAAAAGTTATTTTAAATTCATCAAAAGATGCAAAGCAGATGTCTTATTTGACACTTGAAAAAACCGTGGATTTTAACAGGGTAAAGGGTTAGACAGCTAGTTTACAGTTTTCAAATTCAGATCTGTATTGCCCACCTGTTTGGTCATAACAAAATGGAAGTTGTTGATGAAGTTCAGACCTGTTTCAGCTTCTGGTTTTGCTTTTGACACAGTTAAGTGGGATTGTAGACAAGCATAAGTTTAGTTGTACACTCCTATGAATAAGTTGCTGAAAAACATCAAAACACCCAACTCCAGGTGGTCTGTTTTGGTTTCAAGTTACTGGATAGCTTCAAAAATAGTGAAAACTTCTGAATTGTGTGGGTCCTTGCATGTAGACTTTGAAATGCTGTGAAGCGTTGTGATGTGGAAACTTTTACTCCATCCGAGTTACCTTTTTTAATGGAATGGAACGTGTAGGTGGGTGTGTTCTTTCCATTCTCCTGGCACTTGACTTCCTGTAAATAGCTTCTAAAATGTAAGAATTAATTTTATAATAATTTACTCATATTAAATTGAATTTTTCCCCCCTCTGAAGTGGAACGGTTATTTTTGTTAGAGTTGTATTTCTGTTTGCTGATTTTGTAGTCATAAAAAATACTGTGGTCAACGCTGCTTCCTAATTATTTGATCTGTCATGTTTGTGTGTGTGTTTATTTTTTTAGCTTTTCTTGTGGAAAAACTAATTAATAATTTCCAGAATAATTGAGATTGGAAAGGTCCTCTGGAGGTCATCTGATACAGCCCCACTGCTCAATCAGGGCCACTTAGAACAGGCTGTCCAGCACCATGTCCAGTTGGCTTTTGAGTTATTCCAAAGGTGGAAGCTCCATTATCTCTGGGCAGCTGTGTCAGTGCTTGGTCACCCTTACAGTTTAGAAAAAACCAGGAGTCTTCAGGTGTCTGTTCTTACTTTGTGCCCATTGCCTCTTGTGTTGTCACTGGGCACCACTGAGGGGAGCCTGGCTCCATCTCCTTGCCTCCTCCCTTCAGGTATTTATGTGTACTGGTGAGATTTCTGCCCCTGAGCCTTTTCTCCTCCAGGCTAAAAAGTTCCAGCTCTCTCAGCCTTTCCTCATAGCTGAGATTCTCAAATTCCAGTTACATGGACTCCTTTTAGGTGAACTTTGAATATAAATCAACCACTTGTTTATCTTGTTTTCATCATTTCTATATCACTCTATTTTGAAGTTTGTTTAATCTTTTACTTCTGCATGAGAGGTTCTGAAGGTACCTGGCAGGGTACCTAATTAGTGTTACCTAATAATAGTTGAAATTAATTTATTCAGACAATAAACTTCTTTTTAAATGAGCATAACTCTTTATAAAATACTAAAGGCAGGCACTGGAGTGTGGTGCTATTGTGGCAGTACAGAACTAGACCATTGTTAGTGTCCAAAAAATTACATGAGCCAGTTTTCTTCTGGGATGGCATGATAAGGGTGCAACATTACTATATATTTAAATAATGACTATCACAATAAAAGTATTATTGTAATTGATGTTTGATTAAAATAAAATTGGCCTTGATATGAACATTTTAAAATTCAGTTGCCTGTTTACACTGCAGTACAAACAGTAGTTCTTTATTTTCTTTTCTAATTTGAGAACGATTCTTAAATAAGAAAATAATATATTCTAAATAAATTGGAAGCTGTTTATATTGGTCTGTTGAAAAGTTTGTTCTTTTGAAAAGTAAAATCTGGTTTCAAGGTGAGCTGAGTATTAAATGAAGTCTCTTGATGAAAAATGAAAAGTTAGTGCTTTTCATTGAGTAGCAAGTGTCCTGTGTATTACATTGTGTCTTTTCCAGAACACTTTCAATAGCTGTTTATTAAAGCAGTCTTAACTGCAAGGCAATGAATGTATTTTGTTACTCCCAAGTATAAACCAATTTGTAACCAAGACAATAAACAGCAATGGCATAGACGTTGTGAGAACACCTTAAAAATTTTTAGATAGGCATGATTATATTTTCGTTTCAGTCCAGATGGGAAAATTCTTTTTGTTTTATATGAGGGGTCAGAATATCAAGAAACCTACATAGATTTTTCAGTTAATCAAATATACACAGTGGTGTAATAAGATTCAGGGTTTTTTTAAAATTGTTATTTAGAAGAAGTGTTATAATGATGAACCAAAACCCTGAAAATGGTTTCAGGATGTATGGTGGAAAGTGGTTTTGATCCCTCTCTGTTAGGTTACTAGAACAAATTTGGCAAAGGGAGAGGTCTTCATGGTCTAGACTTACTTCCTAATAGATGTATTTCAGCGTTCAGTTATGGTATGGTTTTGAAGATCTAAGAGTTCTAAACCAGGCTAAAAGACCTGGACTGCCTCACCATGTGCAGGAGCAAGGAACTCTCTAAGAGAATGGTTTGTGCTCTCACTTCTCTCTCCACCAGGAGAAATTAAGGAAAGGTATTTGAGTACTCTAATACTACTTATATCCTCATTATTTTAGTTTTTTTTCCCTGAACTTTCAGAACACTTGAATGAAAATGAAGCATGAAATGTAAGTGTAGAAGCTTGCTGCTGCTGTAGCGATGTCAGTTTAAAGCCACTGTGAGAAGAAATAAAAGAGAAGGTGCTGATGACTTAAGATCACACCTGCACTGAAGATTTCATTAAGAACACAAGTTGCAGCCACTAAATGGTTTTGTCTGATTGCCATACAAGTCCAGCAGAGCATGCTAATAAAACTAATTGTATTGCTCAAGGTCCAGTTTCATCACTGTCATTCTATTTTTGTTTGTATCATATGAAGTTACAGTCTCTCTGAGGAGTGGGGCTGTTCTCCCACATTCACACCCAGCATAAGGAGGGCTATGGTGCTACATTGCTGACAGTCTTCCTGCTGGTGTGGCCACACTGGTAGCATACTAATGGTGAGATGAGTTCTCAGCTGCTGCATGTTCTTTGTGTAGACTTAAAAATGTTTTCTTCTTCCCTCAGTATTAAGAAATAGGTAATATTCTAGGTAATACTTAATACTTATTCTAGTTAATACATAATACTAGGTAATATTTCTAGGTAATACTATGTTCAGCAAGAACTAAGTCCATTGGAAAATCATAGACTCACAGCATGGTTTGGAGTGGAAGGGTCCCTAAAGATCATCTGGGTCCCACCTTGCTGCCATGGGCAGGGACAGCTTCCACTAGAGCAGGTTACTCAATGCTCCACCCAACCTGACCTTGAACATTGTCAGGGATGGGGCATTAACGGCTTCCCTGGGCAATCTGTTCCAGTGTCTCACCACCCTCACAGTCAAGAAGTTCTTCCTAATATCTAATCTAAATTTCCCTTCTTTCAGTCATAACTCTTTGTTCCTTGTCCTGTCAGTACAGTTCCTGATGAAGAGTCCCTCTCCAAATGAGAATTTCTTTATAAATTTTTCTTGTGTCATCAGCCAGATGAAACTTGCTGGTTGTCAGGACAGTTGTAAAAAGAAGGAAGAAGAAGAATTTTCCTACCAGAAAGCTCTATGTCAGAAAGCTAACAAATTTGAAAGAAACCCTTTATATTTTAAGTTTTTACTGGTTGGTTGTTGGAAACCAGTGCATTGTGCTCTCTTCAACTTTCACTGACCTTTTAATCTAATTAAGGTTTATGTTGTATGTCAGAAAATAAATAGGTTAGGGCAAAGGAGAGTTATTTAGCTATTAAGCTGTAAACTGTCTGCCAGCATTACTTTGCATAGAAGTGTCAAAAAATTGGAGGTTTGCTATTAATCTCCAAACCAGAGTGCCATTCAGAAAGGTAGTGTATGTGTGCAGAAAAAAGAGAGAGGCAGGGTGCTTTTGATATTTTGGGTCACATCTGCATATTGACAAGTATCTGCCTATTATAGGGAATGAAATTAGTAAAACAACTGATTCAGATAAAATATTTTTATCTTATTTGAGTGCAGCTTCACCTTGAGGTTCAGCCAAGTACTTAAGTGTCTGATAAACAATCCTAAGGCCTGCTGTAACATTATTTTTTCTTTCTGTATTTAAGCTTCCTGACCCACCCTAGAACTAGTACACTTTGTTGACTTAGCTTTCATCAGGCTGGGTTCTCCAGTTTCTGAAATTATGCAGTTAAATAGGGCAAAAAGCAGGCTCTGAGTGTTTGCAAGCAAAGGGATGACAAGCTTGCTTCTTCTGGCAGTTTAATTTTGGTTCTGACAAACAGGAAAACTGAAAAAATGGTACAACTAAGAGTTGAGTTGCATTTCCACACACGAAGTTTATACTCAGAGATGAAGGGGTTTAGGAGAGTAGTGTTTAGTGGCAGTGTAGACTTCCTATTTCAGTGAGTCTCCTCAGAATTTTAAGGAATTGAAAATTCCTGAAAATATTAATACTATTAACTGTCAAAATTTACTTTGAACTATTCTGACCACAGCAGTTAAATTATTGTATCTATGTAAAGATTTAACTCTTTAAAAGAAATTACAACTGTCAGTTGTAATAGTCATTGAGAAAGGGAACTAGAAGTTTCTAGCTCCTGTTTTTAGGTTGTTTTTTATTTTTTGGGGTTTTTTTTCTTAATGAAAAGAGGAACAAACTTATTTCCAGATTGGTATATTCTAGTGCAGAAATAGTTGATATTTTAAGTATTTGCAACTTCATTGAAGTCAGAGATTTGAATAAAACTAAGTTTTACCTTTACAAGTACATTAAGCAATAAAATACAATGCAGATCATAGAATTATAGCACTGGCAAATCTATTAGATAATGTTTTTAAGCTTCCAGTTTTTGTAATTCTGTTTTTAGAGCCAGCTATCTGAAAAATGGCATAAACTTCCTTTAGAGGACCTATGGTACTTCTAAATTATTCTTCTCTTGAGGAATTACTGGCTTTTGGTGTAATAATTTGTAATGTTGTTTGATGTTCATCTCCTTAGCCACTTCCCTTTATTTCTCTGTCTTCTATATATAAAAGCTGATGAAATTTACTGGTTTTGTTTTAGGTTTTAGAATGCCCTCCTAGCTGACTTAACAAGTACATATTGCACTATGCTAGTTATGGACAAGCATGCAAAGTTTTGGATATCTCTCAGATATGCTTTTATAAAATACTAGTTTTTCAATTGTAATAATTTTCCAAAGCAGATGTTTCTTTTGTGTAATTGGTACTAATATCAGGAATTCAGTTTCTTTATGGCTTCATTTCTGATACATTACCAATACCATTTGAATCCTGGAAGTAGTATTCTAGTGTCCTTCCTTTTCCTTATGAAAAATACTAAAGGCAAACAAACAGTCTGGGTTTTGTATGTACTAATCAATCTAAATACTACAAGTGTTTAAACATTACTTACTCTGAAAAATATGTAAATTAAATTCTTTCATCCATTTTTCCAAAAGAGTGTATTTCTGCATTATTCACCTGCAATACCATTTGAAGTTACTATATTATCTAATAAACAGCTTTTCATTTCCTGTCCTTCCAAGCCATAATTATTTTGTTTTGTTACAAGTGTGTCCTAGTTCTGCTGGGTGTGAGGAGGTGGACTATGTTGACCACATGAGTAATTTGTTTCTGCCAGGCTGGAGCTTCTGAAGAAACTGGTGTTCACCTGGTTTGGATTTTGATGTGAAAATCCTGTATTATATTTTGCAGCGTGTTGTATTTCTCGGTTGCTGTTTGCTGTGTTGCTTCTTCTGATGTCAATAGCCATTGCCATAGGAATGCTTTCTAGTTTAGATTTTATTTTCAATTAGACCCTCGAGGAACTCTGGAAGATACCCTGACCACAGGTTTTTTGTTATTGCAGCATGAAGCTTATGAGCAAGTGCCATAATTTGCTCACAGTAGATTCTCCTTTCACGTGCATACATTTTGTAGTTGTATAGAACTGTCTTATAAAAAGAGATATGCATTTTTCTTTTCATGAAAATGTTTTGATTCTTTTCTTAGAGAGAAGATGATGAAGAAATGCAAGCCTTAAAAGAAAAATTGAAGTACTGGCAAAGGCTGCGCCATGATCTTGAAAGAGCACGTTTATTGATAGAACTTATACGTAAGCGTGAGAAATTAAAAAGAGAACAGGTAAATACAGCACCTTTATTTTGGTGAAGCTTTTCTGAAGGAAAGATAATTTAAGTATTCTCACAATTTTTTCAGTAGGAAGACAGCTGTATTTTAATCCTTACATAGAGTCAAGTAACATATGTACATGCATGTGCACTCAAACTATTTAAAATATATAAAGTTTTCCTAGAATGGCTTGGGTTGAAAGGAAGGATTAAGGATTGTGTAGTCCAACCCCTCTTCAATAAACAGGGACATCTTCAACTAGATAAGGTTGTTCAAAGCCCTGTCCAATCGAACCTATTCTTTCTCCAGGAATAAGGCATCTACCACCTCTCTGGGCAACCTGTTGTTCCAGTGCTTCACCCTCACTGTAAAAAAATTCTTCCTTATATGTAGTCTGAATCTACCCTCTTTTAGTTTAAAACTATTACCCCTTGTCCTGTCACTACAGGCCCTGCTAATCAGTTTGTCCCCACCTTACTTATAGACCTTCTTTATGTACTGGGAGGCTGCAATAAAGTCTCACTTGGGCCCTCTTTTCCAGCATGAGCAACCCCATTTCCCTCAGTCTTTTTTCAGAAGAGAGCTCCATTCTGATCATGTGTGTGGCCCCCCTCTGGACTCACTCCAGCAGCTTTCATGCCTTATGATGGGGGCTGCAGAGCTAGATGCAGCAGTCCAGCTGGGGCCAAATGAGAGCAGAGTGGAGGGACAGAATCACCTTCATTGACCTGCTGGCTACCCTTCTTTTGATCCAGCCCTGGATGCAGCTGGCTTTCTGGGCTGCAAGCATACTCTTCTTGCTCATATTGAGGTTTTCATCCACCAGTACTCAGGTTCTTGACAGGGCTGGAGCTATTCATCCCTCAGCTGGTTCTGATACCTGGGGTTGCCACAACTGGAATTCGGCCTTGTTGAACCCTGCAAGATTCCCATGGGGCCCACTTCTTGAGTTTGTCTGTGTCTGGATGGGATCCTGTCCTTCAGGTGTGTCAACTGCACAATTCATCTTGGTGTCATCTGCAGATTTGTTGAGGGTGCACTTGATCCTTTGGACTCATGTCATTGTTGAAAATACTAACTGCTGCTGGTTTTAGTACTGACCCCTGAGGGACACCACTCATTAGTGATCTCCATCCAGAGTCCAAGCCATTGATCATTGCTCTCTGAATGCAGCCATCCAGCCAATTCCTCACCTATGGAGCAGTCCACCCATTGACTCCATCTCTCTTCAGTTTAGAGAGAAGGATGTTTTTGAGGACCATGTCAGAGGCCTTAGAGAAGTCCAGATAGACAACATCTTCCATTGTCTACTTAAAGGAATTAATCCATCATAGAAGGCCACTAGGTTGGTTAGACCCCTGGGTTAGTTAGGCAGGACTTACCCTTGGTAAGGCTGTGCTGGCTGTCCTGAATCATCTCTTTGTGTGCCCGACATGGAAGCTTTGCCTAGTGAAGTTATTCATAATGCGCTCCTGCAGTCTCCTACAACTTGTTGTGCTACTTTTCCAGATGTCAGAATGGTTGAAGTCCTCAGCAGGACAGGAGCCTGCAAAAGCAGTGCCTGTCTGTAGCTGGAGCAAGAAGGCTTTGTCAATAGGCTCCCCTAGATCTGAAATAAATACCAACCACAGGGTTCCTTCTCTCACCTTGGTGCTTAAGCTTTCAACCTGCTCGTGGCTTTCTTTGAGACAACTCCTCACAGTATATTCATTTCTCAGTGTAGAGGGCAACCCCAGTGCCCCTCGGTATGCTCTTGACCCTTCTGACTGGCTTCTGACCATCCATAGTCACACTTGAGTCATGGGATTCATCTCACCAAATTTCAGTAAAGGGAAGTTAGAGTGTAGCTCTCTACCAGCACTGTGTCCTCCAGCTCCTTCTGTTTGTTGCCCTTGCTGTGTGCATTGACATAGAGAAATAATTTAAGAAGACATTCTCTTAGACTTGGAAAAATTATTGGTTTCTGAGGAACTGTAGAAGATTTGATCTATTCAGGTTTTCTCAATACATGTCCATATACTTAGTAGCACTTTTATCCTTTTGTCACAAAAAAAAGCAAAAATAAAAGCTGCATCTGAAGTCCTACAGCATTCTACAGTTAACATTTCCAGGAGGAGAGATATGAGGAAGTGATAATGCAGAAAGATAAAAGCTTACATGAAAACTGTGAACGCAAAATGTTTGCACTTAGGAGTTTTTAATGGTCCCTGTTTGTGAAAACACAATTTCATTTTTACTTTTGCAAACTGAACATTTATTGCAAGCTACTATAATTTGTCCTTCTGGAGTGCTTTCTGGAATTCTTTGCATAATTCTTGTGTATTCACGTATCATTTGCTTTACATATGTATTTTTATGTGTGTACTTTACGCATGCATCTTTGCTTATACTTTATTTACATGTATGTATTATATATATGTGCACACACCTTTAATCTTTCATTAAGAATTTACTTTAGTTATAGCAAGACTGTTTCATTGTTGATAATTCTTAAAACAGCTTAAAAATTAAGCCGTTTTAAGAGTTATCAACTCTTAAAATTAAGAGGAATTGAAATAGTGTCAAAAATTAAAAAAAATCAGAAGTATATTGAAGTATTTGAAGATGTTGATTCTGATTTTTTGAAATAATTTTCTTGGAATTTATGTAGAACATTGTCTTCCCAATTACTTTTTATTTTGGTCTTATGTAGCCTTGAGAGAATCAGATTCTCTTTTTAAACTTTGAACATAGCAGTACAACTGAAATTTAATTTGAAACATTACCTTTAAATTCTTACTATTTTCACATTGCTGGTGAATTGTGAACCTGTTATTATGTGGCATCTTTTAAAAAAATACATTTAAAAGTGGAACAAAATTCTTACATATAAAATACAAATTTGAGTTCTGGGAAGCTGGAGTTGAAGGAATGAGAATGATTTTTTTTTTTCCCTTACAAAATCATTACCTAAAAACCTATGTCAGATAAATGCCAGCTGATGATATTAAAAGCAGTACTGAACTCATTTACTTAAATGTATTTGTATTTTATATCTTATCTAAAATACTACACTATTACTGCTAAACAACTGAAATCCAGTATGTTAAGGGAAAATGCTCAGTTGGATAACTGTTACTTCTTTAGGTCAAGCTGGAGCAGGTTACTATGGAGCTTCAGCTCATTCCGTTCACTGTACTGCTGCGATCGGTTCTGGACCAGCTGCAGGAAAAGGATTCTGCTCGTATATTTGCTCAGCCAGTGAACCTTAAAGAGGTATGTTTGCAGCTGTGTTTCCTGGTGTTTACATGTGGCTTGGTGGCACTTAAGTACTACAGGAAACAAGTCATTACATACAGAGGTAGAAGCAGTGTTAGCTTTGAATTTTTATTCTGATAATTAACATTATGAGTTGTGGTCTACTGCTATGAAAGCCTTTTTATGCTTATGTAGCAAAATAATTTCTGGGAAATACTTGTATGGAAATACCCCATTCTTGTATAGAACGTTGGGTACATACTGATACTTTTCAAAGTAAGACAATTTTGGTAAGGCTAATTTGAAGGATATCAAAAATTGCAATGCAGATACCGTGTTATTACTTGAAGGTGAAACTAAACAGACTTAGAGTCTACATGTGTGCATTTGTGGATATACTGCATGCACATCTGTTTATTATATTTAGAATCATCGAGGTTGAAAGAGACTGCCAAGATCATTGAGTCCAGTCTTTGACCTAATACCAGTATGCCGACTAAACCATATGGCAAAATGCCACACTTCCATGGATGGCCACTGTGCCACTTCCCTGAGGAGCTGTTCAATTCTTTACCACCCTTTCAGTGTAGAAATCTTTCCTAATACCTTACCTGTACTGCTCCTGGTGCCACTTGAGGCCATTTTCCCTTGTCCTATCATTAGTTGCCTGAAAGTAGGAGTACATAAAACCACAGAATTCCCAAGAAAATGTTTCAGCATCACTTAGTAGAGCTCAGACTTGTTATCCAAGATACAGAATATAATAATATCTAAACTTCTGTTGGCATGCAAATGTTTGCAATATCTAGGTGTGCAATTCTAAGTTGCATCTTCAATTTCTTGCATTGAGATGTTACAAGATACATTTAAAAAGTGGATCAGTTACTAACTACTGTTACTTTCTCTGTAATAAGATGGTTTTACCTATTTGTGTTTTAAATATTTATCCAAAGGTTCCAGACTATTTGGATCATATTAAACATCCTATGGATTTCTCTACCATGCGGAAACGGTTAGAAGCTCAAGGCTATAAAAACCTCACTGAGTTTGAAGAGGACTTCAATCTGATCATAGATAATTGTATGAAATACAATGCAAAGGATACAATATTTTATAGAGCTGCAGTGCGGTTAAGAGATCAAGGAGGTGTAGTTCTCAGGCAAGCCAGGCGAGATGCTGAGGGAATTGGCTACAACAATGAAACTGGAATGCACTTACCAGAACGGCCTAAACTTGAGTCACCCCAGCCTTTCTCTTGGGAAGATGGTAAGATGTGTTTCAGTTATTTTGGAAAATTGCAGTTTTTACTGCATACAGTGTGTATGTTCCATACAGATGTTTAGCATTGTTGCTGTCCAGTTTGCTAACTAGATTCTCCACTCCACCGTTAAAAGCATTGCTTGAAAGAGTCTGGTGTTTCTATTCTACCAGATCTGTCATAAGATATCAGTGCTATCTGGATTCTGATTTTGGCAGTGTCAGAGCCTAATTTAACAATTTACATGGAAAAGTTTTTTAAGTTGAGTGCTTTCTTTCACATGATCATATATGCTTGTAAGGCATGGAAAATGAATTCCAGTGTTCATAAACTTCAGCACATTCCTGAGTAACCTACCTGATAAATTGAGCACATTTGTAATACTAAGAATTAAATAGGTTTTTTTTTGACATACACATGAGTTTTCTAAGGTTTGGAGGTGGAGAATAATTAACATGTTTCTTTTATAACCATAATTTTGTCCTTTTCTTTAACAAAAAGCAATTAATCAGTTAAAGTGGGAAGGGTAATTATGTCTTCCTTCTGACCTTTTATTTCTTTGCTCTGCTACTTAGTTGTTTTGATCAAAATGCTGATTAAGAAAAATAGTAACCGTATAGTAGGAATTAATTTCGGTATTTCTGGCTATGATCTAAATAGTTTTTTGACAGTATTTTTTATTTTGGCATGCAAATTCAGTTTTTTCCTTTTGTTGTATTACTGTTCTGAGGATGTTCTGGGAAATGCTAACACGTTTTCAATTGTACGTGTTTTGACTTCAGTGGATAGGTTACTGAATCCTGCAAACAGAGCACATATGTCCTTGGAAGAACAGCTGAGAGAGCTGCTAGAAAAACTTGATCTCACCTGTGCAATGAAATCCAGTGGGTCAAGGAGCAAAAGAGCAAAGCTGTTAAAGAAAGAAATCAGCATTATTCGCAACAAACTCAGTCAGCAACACAACCAAGCTCCTCAGATAGAGTCAGGTATTGGAAGTTTCGAGGAAGAAAGTGCAGCATTAGAACAAGATGGAGAAGAAGAAGGTAAGATTGTAAACCAGGTTTAAATGAGTACTGGTCTGAGCTGCTTCAGTCAGGTGCTGTGATGTGAGTAATAGTGTGAATTAAAGAATTTGATTAACTAATATTAAATTTAAAATACTGATTTTAAAATTAAAATGATAGTTTGAAAATTTGATAATTGCTGCCTAATCACAACAAATATTTTAAGAGTAGAATGATCTTCTGAAGAAAACCTCCCTCCAATACTTTTCATGGTAGCAAGGCTTAAAAACTTAGGTGTGAAAAAATGAAAGTGCAAACAATATCAGATGAAAAGCAGTTGGAAATGCCTGAGTGGAAAATATCTTTTTACTTTTGGAAACACACTTAAATGTCAAAATACGTGTTAGGGATCATGTGAGCCTAGGTCAGTGGTAATGAAGACTCTGGCTGTTGTACTGTGGTTTTAGCCTTTTTTATTCACTACTCCAGACTCTAGGGAAGAGGGTGGGTAGGCTTTGGGGTTATTTGTTTATTTATTTATCTATTTTAAATAAAGCTAACTATTGATAAGACTTAACAAATTTCACATTGTAGTATCAAGTCAGCCACATCTGCCTACCTCTTCCCCTTTTGCTTCTCTTCCTCCTCGAAACAGTTGTCTCAGAACTGTGTCTACTTTTGGCTAATTGCCATTGAGCTCAATGAGAGCACTGTGCTGGAAGGACTAACTTAATATCTTAATTAAATTTAATATTTTCATTTTTATCTTTTAAATCAAGTTTTTTATTGCTCATTTTAAAATGATGGAAAGAAAATCTGTCACTCAAATAAGAATTCTGTTGACTTTGTTTCATGATTAGCTCTAAGGAACTAAACTTTTTCTTTAGGAGAGTTAAGAGATGTGTTTCATTTTTGAGTAAGTGCCTTGAATAGGAGGAGGAAAGAGCTCAAGGGAAAGTGGAAGCATGGTAATAAATAAAATAATCTCTATTTGTTGTGGCTTGATGCTATCAAAATTTTTGAAAGGTGAAGTCAATTAAATGATTGTCCTTAACTGCCATTCAAACAGCAACTTAGTGTTTAGTTCCAAACAGAACTTGCTGGAGATTTGAGCATTGGAAGAAAAAGTGTACATGAATCAGCACATTTTCTTGTTCTGAGGTTTTTAAGTGTTCTCAAAATGTTTAATGGTTTAGGTTTTTTAAATTTGAGTATTTTTTTGATCTTTAAGTGATGATGGTATTAAATACAGTTTCTTAGGAATGTGGGGTTTGGCATCTCATGAATCCACAAACTTTTTTTTATTTGTAGCTTAACATTTTGGTGCCACAGCCTTTCACTTCGGCAGTTTTTTGTGAAAAAAGTAGTCCAAAGTGAACAGTAGTGGTTTTCTTATATTTAGGGTAGGCTTTTAACATAAAACATGATGAAAGACATGATCTAGGTTTGATTGGTATGGTTGTTATGGTTCTGATCTAGTGGAGAGTAATAATAATTAGTTCAAATTTCAGTTCTTAAAAGGAAAGTACATACAGGAGTAAAGAAAACAAATTGCCCCAAAATAAAAAGAAAAATCCTGTGCCCAGGATCTCTACAGGAGCTGACTTTGATAGAACTCAGAATTACCCTCTTGCAGTTCTGTTTCCAGTCTTTGATCATGTGAAAAATATAGTACCAGAATAACCCCATGAAATTTAGGTTTTATTTCTAAATAATTCTCAAGTAGTTTTATGTTCTTTAATCTTTCTGCAAATATTTTCTGATTAGTTGTAAGAAAATCAGAATTTGTTCACAAGGGAAGTCACCATGGAGATTTTAAAGCACAGGATTTTTTAATGGCTGCTAGTCTAAACGTGCTTAACTGATTGTATATTTCATTCTGCAGTCTTCCTGAAATATTAGTTACCAATTCTAATACCTGTGTGCCTGCAAATGATGTAAGCGCAGTCACACTGTATTTTAAAAATGGGCATTTTTAATATGGACTCTGCTATTGTTTTATTAAACCTTAAACAACAGGGTAAAGATTTTTTTTTGCACTTAGAAATCATTAATTTCCAAGTGAATATTGCAGGACCAAAACCAAACAAAATAAACTGCAAATAGAGAACTTAAACACTTTGGGATTTTACACCTTTTTTCAGGTGGCATAGAAAATTTGACTAATATTAAATATTTTATGTGATAAAATAAATCACATAAAATAAAATATAAAATAAAATATTTATTTAGCATAAATAATACATTAGTGTTATGCAGTTACTCTAGAATAAGTATTTCCTTTCTTGTATTTTGAAAGAGTCTTTTGGAAACTGGAAAGATTTTAACATCTTTTTGAGTTGATAATTATGTGTTAGGACATCCTAGTTGTATTAGGGAATGCTGCAATAGTGGAATGTTTATTTTCTTTCCCATTACTTGTGATGAAAAACTGAAACTACTTTTGTACCTCACTGTCATATCTCAATTGTCTTTTCCTAGCATGGATTTAGTGGAATTGAGGGACATGATCATACTAAAAAATATTAAAAGTGTGGGGGAGAAGGGGAGAAAAATGTTGGAGGGTGGTTTTTCTGATTTCTCATATCAAATCTGTATTACCAAGTGTGTTATTTTTTGAGTAGAGGCTAATCAAGCTGCATGATTTTGGGGATGTTGGGTTTTTCTTCTCCATTTTATTACTTTTTCCTAGATTAAACGGATGGTCACAACTGTTAAAAGGTTTTACAAATCATGCCCTTGTATAGATTTTGTAACACGTTTTAGTTCACTCAAGTAGAACAGGTTACAAGTACCTTTTTTTTAATTGATTAGCTAATAAAATTTTTCATAGGCAGGTAAACTGAATATTGATAAGGTGAAATAGATAAAAACGTATTTTACAAAAAATTTTACTCGAATGGCAGTATAATTGCATTTAACAGATAATCATCCACCACCCCAACTTCCTAATGAAAAAATTTTAGTAGTTCTTAGTTAATGAAACTAACATAACTGCATGAGAAGAAGCAAGTACTTATCCAGGTATAAATTGTTAACACCAACTATAGATGTCTTCTTTTCTACCCCTGTTGCATTCCCAGTATAAAAGTAGGAACTACTAACTAGGACAGATTGTTGCTAGACAAGTTTTGGTTTTAAAATGTTATGCTTTGTTTCCAGACAACAATTTATTTGGTGGGCTGCACATTTATAGTGAGTTTTATAATAGACTTTATAACTACAGGTTTTCAAAAATCACACTCTATTTATAATTTTTTCAGGAGATAAATCTCCCCCTAAACTTGAACCATCAGATGCATTACCTCTTCCTTCAAACTTGGAGACTAATTCAGAACCACCAACCCTCAAACCAGTAGAACTCAATCCAGAGCAGAGTAAGCTTTACAAAAGAGTAAAATTTGATAATGAATTATATAGCACTTCCATTCAGAAAGAAATAAATGGACACACTCCAGAACACTTACTTGACAGTAATCTCAATGAGTCGACTGTTTCTGCTGTAGCTGAGTCATCAACTGATGTAAACAGACGTACATCCATTCTCTTCTGCAAATCGAAAAGTGTAAGCCCCCAAAAGTCTGCAAAGAACACTGAAACCCAGCCAACTTCTCCACAGCTAGGGACCAAAACCTTTTTGTCTGTAGTCCTTCCAAGGTTGGAGACACTTCTGCACCCAAGGAAAAGATCAAGGAGTGCATGTGGAGATTCTGAGGTTGATGATGAGTCCCCTGTAAAGCGCTTGGATACAGGTAAATGTTTACAAAACTTATTTGAATGGATACATCTGGAAAGTTAACATACCTGTTAGTTTTTACCTACGTGTGATTGTTAATCTTCAGATTTTAGCACTTGAAACTGGTTGTCCTTGCAGTTGAGTAGTTAGAGTGCAAAAAATTATTACTCATTTTTGTGTTGGCCCTTGACAATTAGACTTACAGAACCAGGTGTGGGTCCTTTAGTTTCATGATGCAGTTTTTAAGTACGCATATGGGTGTATATGAAACCTGTAGGAAAGATGAATTGGCTTCTTTTTTGCAAATTCCGTCTTAAAACTACGTGGAAACTTCACATGTGATGCCAAAACTAGAAGGCTTGTAAGCAGGAGCATGAAAAATACCTGTGCCATGTATGATTTCATTTTGCTGAGTGTTACTCCAAGCATATTTTTATATTATGAAACTCATGACTGTGTATGAGGCACTTTGTATATCCATGTATTTTATGGAAATGTTAAAACCCCAACATATAATGACACTTGGTGTAGGTTTTTTTTTTTAGTCTGTGCACTTTCAGTAGAATTGAAGGTGAGATTATGCTCTTAATGAGACTTCTGTAAAGGATATTTGAAAGAAAATGTTTTCTTGATACATTAGGGCAGAACAAACAGCTCAAGACATTAATTATATCTCTCAAGACATTAATTATATCTTTTCTTAGCACACCATAGTTCTATTTATTTGAGAAATTAATACAAAACCTTTGAGGAAGAAAAGCAATATCAGGAAATTACTTACGGATATTTCCTTAATGTCATCCATGGCCATTGCTATGACTTTAATATTACCTTTGAAATAAATAATCTGTTTCATTGTCATGTTGGGAACCCTTATGCAGGTATGAAAACAGCATGTGGGGATTTGCCTCTATGAATGAAAAAGATAGTTTAATGTGAACATAAGGTGTGAAGATGTACTTCAAAAGCTGGGGGAGGGATGGAGAGTTTTATTTGGGGGGAAAAGGGAAGTATTGTTGATTTTTAGGTTGTTTCTTTTTTGTTTGGTGGGAATTTTTTGTTTTGAATAACAGGATTTTTCGACGTGTGGGGCGTTGCACTTTTTTTTGGTTGGCTGGGGTTTTTCTTAACGATCGCATGGAGGCAGTAATGATTCTAATGCTGGAATCATAGTATGAGAAGATTTTGTGTAAGATGCAGTGAGGGGAATTGTTTTTCATTTATATTTTGGGGGTTTGGTTCTGTTTGCCTGTTTAGAAAGCCCCAACTTGCATTCATTTTCCTAAGAGCTTGGAAAGAGCATGCAGATTAGACCTGGTACTTTAGTTCTGAAGTAAGTACCAAGTGAAGGCAGTGTGATAGTAGAAATTAGTTAATCTTTATTAATAAAATAAAAACGTTGGTTTCCAAATATCTTAATTTGCCAGTGTATAACCTAGATAATTTCATTATGTACCTGGACATAGGTTGCATTTTATCGTACACAATGAATTATTTTATGCTAGATCACACTGGGAATTAGTCCTAATTTCTTGAAATTTTTGGGTTAAGCATTGTGGATTTTTTCTTTAGGGGAAGAAAAGGTTTTTATTTTGTAAGAAAATTAACTTAATTCATAAAAGGAAAAAAGGCAGCTGCAAAACTAGAACCCACCAGATTTCTGAATACATTTAAATTCAGCCATTTTTCCTTCTTTCTGTGGAGTTAGATGTATGTAAAGCAAATATGCTTTTGATTATCTTCAAAACTAACAACCTAGTCACATGAATAAAATCCAGAAGTTAAAAAGCTTTTCTGTTGTTAATTTAAAAGAAAATTATGTAGTCTTTTTCTGAAGCTAGTAAAGATATAAAGAGAGTTAAGTTTATGTGGAACTAATATTTAGGGGTCATTTGTAGTTAGAATTTGTACTTGTTCAGGAAGAGTAAATTGAAACAGTTTGGCCAATTAATATTCACCCGAAAATGTTCTATTATTCTTTAATAGTATCTTGTGTTTTAAGCATATATGGTTCATACAGATGTGGCAGTTTATCAGATCTTATTCCTTTGATTAGTTTGCCTGTTGGCAAGTAAACATTTTGCTTTCACATAGGAAATTTTATTCCTCATGTTATTTTCAAATTTGTCTCCACACTAATTTAAGTAATTTGCAGTTGGCAGCTATCTTGGGCTGCAGTTCAGCGGGAAAACAGCACAAATGTCAGATGCTTACCAAGATTTAAAAACAGTTGAGATTTTTTGTATATGCAGCTGGTATTGATTCATGTAGATGTCTGTGTTATGATAAAAATGCATTAGGTGATGTATATAGCAATACATTCATTCTCTTTGGTTATTTTTTACAAAACTTAATCTCGTGCTGTAGGTAAGAATATTTTTATTCAGTAGAATCCAGCAGAGCTTTTTCTTCCAAAGCCATCTAATCATAGGAAAAGACATGCAACAGGCTTCTTGTGTGCATTGACTGAGTTATCAGCTTTGGGGGAAATCCCTGCAATTGAAAATGAATTATTGTTGCACAGTTTTCTTTGAATGGTGTGAATATTACCTATCCTTAATTTTACTGAATACAGAAAAAATAATGAAAAAGAACCACTTAATATGCCAAGGATTGAAATTTTTAGGTGGTTGAGAGCTGCACTGTCACATATTTTTTCTTTCTTACCTATTCATAGCCAGTATGAGGGTTTTTGACGTTATTTAAGGATGTCTTGTTTCTATCCCTTACTCTGCACTCTCTTCAGTGTTTCCCCCTTTCTTGTCACTCCTGTATTCTTACATGACAAAGTTCAAAGGAAGACTTTAAAGTTTATTTAGTTGAGTGAAACGACACCTACCTGGTTGTGTCATTATTCTCATAGACTGCTTTTATTGTGCTCTTTTGACTTACATTTGGGGTTGATGTTTTTGTAGTTATTTTCAAGAAAGACACACAGAAACCACTGGCACGCTCCTGTGTAAGTGTGGTGTCCCACGTGCTGTTGGTTTTCATACATAAGATTACTGAAATGCCAGCTCTTTTTCAGAAATAGGGGACTATTGAACAACATAAGTTGGCCTTCAAAGGGAACTGAAAGCAGTTCATTTCCATACTGTGACCTTTCATATGTGAATCTTTAAAATATATGAAGCAGGAGTGTAGTGTAATCTTAAATTTAAATTTTGTAGTGTTCTGCATTATCACAGAGTACATCTGTCTTTGTAGTTGCTGTGTAGAAACTGACAGCTGCATAGTGGAGACGTTTAAAAATTTCCTATACATATTTGATGTATTTTGGGTTTGCTTCATATGGTATCTAGCAACAATTTCCAAAAGAAGATTGTTGGTTTACCTAGGAAATTTTGGTGACATCAGAGATTGATGTGTGATTCTTGAAGGTTGGGCATGTCAGGTCTTAACTGTGACAAGTATAATGACCTTTTCAAAATACCCATTGTATACTTACCTTGCTCTTTTGTTACAAAGATGAATCATTTTTTTCAGGGAAATATTTTGTGAAGTTATTATATCAGAGAAAAATGAAATTGATTAGTGAATAAAAGATAGATATTACTGACTATTAAAAATCTACCTGTATCAGTTGTGTATCAGTAAGATACAGATGATATCAGTAAGATAGCAGATGGAACAAATTATTGTTTCAAGAAACCCTTTTTAACATTGTAAAATGCTAGCTTATGATCAGATGAATTTGTCTATGTACTTGGTGTTATTAGTCATCTCTAAGGTTTTGTAAATTTAGGTTTTAAAATTCATAGTTGCTGTTGCAGTACTCTCTATTTTAATTAGAAACTAAGTATTTAAAATACTCTATCCTAAAACGACCACTGTAACTTACCATAGAATCAGGATTTCAGACAGTGATTATTATAGTGCAGTACGTTGTGTTTCTATTATTTATTGTCCAAATGCAGTCGTAGGAAATTTCAGTGAAGTATATAATTTACTTCATATTTTTGCTGCCAGCTACACAGATTTTCTCAAGGTACTGAAACTCATGTTTAGATGAATATTTAGAATACAGATTTAGAATATGGATCCCTGAAGTAGAATATTCACACTAAAAAGCACATAGTGAGGGAATTTATAATTTCTGAATACATAATTCACATAGAGTTATCAGTATACAACAAAGATTCCTTATTAAATCTCTTAGTAAATGTTGGGTTTTGTTTTTGCTCAACTATTACAAAATGATGGCAAGTAACCTGTATACAAATTCCATTTGCATTTGATAGAATTTAATATTGTAGTGAGGACTGCTGTTACTTAATTTGATATGATAAGGGTAGACATTGTGTGTGGAGTGAAATGGAGCACAGTTCATTTTCTTAATTCTTGAGTACTTGATTTCTAATGACTATTTGCCTCTCTGGAACACAGGCCCATTTGGCTAAAAGTCAGGCTTCATATGCACAGCGTTCATTACCATTCACTAAATGGAGGAAGTGAAAGTAAAACATGCATATCTAAGAAACTTACGTCTTCGAAGTAAATAAAAAACTAAAATAAAGGTTCCTCAGTGAAGAAAAGCCCCAAATTGGTATAATTTCTCTTGTGGTTAGCATAGACAGGAGTGACAGTACATGTGTGTGTGTGTGTATATATATATGTATATATATATATATATATAAAATATCTATATATATAAAATTTATATTCATGAATAAAGTGCAACAATTTGACTAAATCTGTTGACAAATCCACAGTCCTGGTTTGTTGTATTGAAATGTATAGTGATTGTTTCATGTGAAGTCGGATTTGAAATTTAATTATTTGAGCACTTAGTGGTGTTCAAGAACTTCAGCTGCCTGACTCCAGGAGGTTTGGAAACATAAAACATTTTAAGGTGTGTTTGCAAACAAACAAAGTATTAGAGATTGTGAGGAGGTTACAAAGGCCTAAAAGGAATTATTCTCTGGTTTGTTAAATTTGTCAGTGTAGAGACATGGGGAGAACAGGAGTCTGACTGTTCAGTTGTCAAAATATGTTTGGTTAATTGGTCTTCTAGTA